TTAGATGGATTTTAAAATGCTTGTTTTACCCCGTTAAAACAGAATTAAATAAAATATATAACCGATTTTGTATGTTTTACGCGTGCTTATTGCTAAACCAAATTTTGGAACCTCATTATTGAGATCAATCACATGTGTCAAATTTTTTCACGTTCACGTAAACTGTTTACGTACTACAGTTTATAAAAAGGAGCACTACTTAGAGATACAGTTTTCTTTGGTTGTCTTACATCTTTTGACTCCACTTTCTGTGTATATAGGAAATTAAAAGCTTTAATAATGATTTGTTTATTACTACATTCCATAACTAAATGCAATTTCGCATAAACCTTCTTGTTTTCATAACAGGCTTGCACTATTTTGTTTAGAATTTTAAGGATTATAAGATAGTGTACTAATTTCAATCAAAACAGGTTTTTTTTAAATATGATTTTCTGTAATTTAATGTTTTTTTTTTAATAGGAAAATAACATTTGGTAAAATAACTATAGAAACGCAATTTATACAGCAAATTGGAGCTATACCACTTTGTCCAGAATTTAAAGGGCTATAACATACTAAATGTCTGTCAAAATCATTCGGGCAATCTCCGAGAAAATTCGACTTTTCGTTACTTTATGAAAAAATAGCCATAAAAATCTAAATTTCAAAAAAATATAAAAAATGCCTGAAGATACCATAGATTAATACATGTACCTCCATACCATTTTTTTTATCGGACAACATGTGTGGTCTGTAGCTCTGAACACATCGACGGCCAGAACACACACACGGACAGAAATCACTTCGAAAACCTTTTTTGGGTCCAGGGGGATCCAAAACGGATATATCCTCAACTCAAACTAGAAAATGTTGACGAAAACAATCTCTATATACTATGGTACAGGGGGAGAAAGTAAAAGGAACAACGAGTTTGTCTTTGGGTAACTCTATTTGGGTTCGGTAAATAATTTGTTAGATTAGATTTTATCAAATAAAGAACTGATTTAATCCACCTCCTAAAAAAAAATAATGTATTTTTCACCATGACGATAAACTGATACGATCATAATACGACCTGAAAGTGTATTTTTATTAGATGGAATCCAATGTCCAGACTCATTTGGTCCTTATTCTCAACTTTCAAAAACCATGTTCGTTCAAAAACAGGGTTTTACTACCTGATAAATAGCAGGCGTCATTATAATATTATTATTTAATCCATTGATTATTTATTATTGAATTCAATAATGGAATTGAATTATTATTTATTATTAAAATAGTCAATTTACTAGAATTTATGTGGCATTTCCAGATTCAAGAACAAATAATTATGTTGTTTACCTTTTGAAATTCATCAAGAACCTGGCAATCAAAAGGTAAACAAGTCAATTTACTATAATCTGCTTCTCCATCTCTTACAAAGTATGATTTCTTTAGAGAATTTGATTAAACCATAGACCCATCTATATGGACCAGCTTTCACAATCTGTTACTAAAATATCATAGTTGTTTGAGCCAGTCACAGAATGGGCTATTATTTCAACCCTACTTTTTGTAGCTGACATAGTTAATGGATCATATCATAACAGTCGATATCGCTCATAATAAGTCCTTCCATTAGTTTGACTGGGTAAAAAAAGCTCGTGGATTTGTCTGATGTTAGTAATTTAGATCAGCACAATCTGTTAGTGGCTCACATCAACTACGTCAGTAGAATGCCAGAAAGGGAAGGTTTTCTATAGAAACCTGTGTCTCGTGTGTACATTGATTACCTAACAACCCTCCGAGAATCAAAGATACAAATTTTAGTATTCTAACCGACGGGTTGAAATCAATCCAATAAAGTTACTGAAATTAAAAATATTTTTAATTTTCTAATCTGGTCACATTGACATAAGTTAAAACAGGTTGAACTAATTAAAATGTGCAGAATTTGGCTACAATGAAATGAGGCTTTGTTCACTTTGGGTTAATTAGTACAGTACCAGGATGACCGAGAGTTGCTCATCGTCACCGATTTACTATTACGCGATAACTCAATTTTAGACAGTCAATGTCCTCCAGTCATGAATTAAAAACCCTCTTTGGTTTTTTAATCAGCTGTTATATTTTTTGTTTACTATTAAGCTATTATTTTGTCGATGTTTACTATTTTTTTGATGTTGTTGTTATTTCGTTGCCAAAGTAGTAACCCTCAAGGCTCACTGTTAAACATTTTTGACTTTCAATTTAAAATTTTGCGTAATTAGATTCTTTTTACAGTTTAAGTGCATAAAACTCTTTTTTAGGCCAAAAATAAATTATTTACAACATTTAGAGGGAATCGTAGGTGCAGTTTTCAAGATATTTCTGCAAGCAAACATGGCTCATATTATAAGAGTATAGGATTATTTGATCTTGTTCGAAAACTATTTAATTTAATTGAGTAAAAGCCTGTCATACCAACCTCTCGACAATATAACTGTTTATATGACAGTAGACTATTCCATTATACCTGTTGTCTTTTGTAAATTTGGTAGATAAATAAATAATACCGATTGCTCGATCAATTGCTTTTGAATAATTTATTATGAAATAACGAAATAACACATTTTACATTAGCGAGTGTTTTAATAATTATCAAGTCACAAGCTATGTGAAATCTGTCGACAAAAAAAATCTGTGTGGTTGGAAAATCCTACTACCTACGTTTTGTACTAAACTACCTCCAGTAAATAAAGCCGAGCTCTGCCAACTATAAAGTTGATTTTAGTTTAATGTATATCCACCTCTTTACTTATAACTTACCTTGGTGGACGGATGTTAATAGTTTGGAGACTAACTTACAGTTCAAACTATTAAAGTAGGTTTATTTCATATATATATTATATACGGAAAGTAAATAAAAGAAACGTCTTATAACACTTAAAACATATATTTACGCTTATACTGTTACTCACAAGACGGTAAATATACAAAACAGATGGTAAGTGGTGATCGATTTCGATTGGACACTCCAATCATCATCGGACCCAATAGGCGAATACGTCTTGTGAGTAACAGTATAAGCGTAAATATATGTTTTAAGTGTTATAAGACGTTTCTTTTATTTACTTTCCGTAAATTTAATAACACGTACAATGCTGATCAAGAAGTCATATATTATATCTATGTTATAGATATTGTTTTGATGTTTTCATAAAAAATCATAAAACGTGATGTCTCTGCTTGACTGGCTTTTACATAAAGCTTTTACTTAGAAAAGCAATCCTAGGTTTTTATTATATTATTTACACAACTAACATACGATGTGTAACAAGTTCTCATTCTGGACGTTAGACCTTAATAGATGTACTTAATACCATAACTAAATATACGTAAACTTGTTTTAAGATATGTTTTTTTATCTTGCATATTTTCCACTACAGCTTTGCTTGTTAATATGAAGCAAAGCAAGAAGCAAGTTGCTACAATATGTACTGACCGGGACGATATCCGTGTCGTAAGTTTGTATTGCGTACTATTTGAAGTACATCAATAGTCCTCCTGATCTGTCCGGTGATAAATATAAGTAGAGTGAAGAACCGTACGGTATAAGTCACATTTATTTACAGGTCAGTAATGACTGCAGTCATAAGATAAACCATCATCCCGAGACGATGCCGTTATATCAGAGCATATTTTGCTTTATGTAATGTTTTGTAAGAATTACTATTAAATATACGTTATATCTATAGCATTTTTTATGTGATGCCCAGGGAGGTAGATCGTATAATATGTATCTTGTAAAGATAAATTATTGTAAGTGTCGTTACAATATGCAAGAGTGTGTGGTAGTGTTGGGGCCGTCGACTCCCCTCACTTATGTGCATTACTTTTTCATATTAATGGTATATCTTGTTGTTACCTTTATTGTTAAGTTTTTAATTTTTCTTCAGAGTTTACCGTACTTTTTGCACATTGTTCTCTTCTGTAAATTTGCTGTAAATTGTCCTTGCCTCCATACTATGTATTTATTTTGTAGTGTTTCATATTTTTGGGTTTGCTTATTGTTAGTCTTTACTTCGTTAATATTTATTGTTATTATTGTTCCTGCATGTTAACTAGTCTTTATTGCCACTTCCTGTGATATTTATCATTTATTTTTTTCAACTTTGTTTCGTTAATCTTAAGTGTAGGTAATAGATAGCTGTAATAGTCACATGTATGTATAATAACGTCATCTTTTTTTACCTTTGGCCATCTGTAAAAAATTGCAATGTACAATGTAAAATGGTGTTTGCCGTATATAAATAAATAATAAATAAAATATGAGTAACATCTTAACCTTAGCTACCCAGCAGTGCTACCATAACGTATAAATGGTATTCTTGTATTTAATTTGGGCATTTCTCTATTCCAAAGGCATTTTTACGAATTTTAAAGAGCATTTCACATCCGGGGTCTAACTGTTTTATGCCAACATTTCATTAGAAAGCATCATTAATTGGTAGCCCAATTAATATGTACCCCAATTGTTTTGTACTGATAACCTGTAGCCAAATGGCATTTGGGTCCACATTCCCACGAGTCATCAAACACAATAAGAGTTTCTAAATTTAAGTTTTGACAAATAACTCATTGTAAAGCCTCAAATCATATAAGCTCTGGTGACTTTGTTCACCATCCCCGGGGGAGTAACTTGGGGAATGTGACTTCGGTCCAAGAGGTCCCGGGTTCAAATCCCGCTAAATCAACAACGGATTTTATCTAAGTGATAACGTGTTGTGAGGTGTAGCCTGAAGTAATGTGAAAACAACCCCAGGCTCGTGCCTAGCTTCTTAGGACAAAGAAATCACCATCCCCGTCCAATCCAACCCTTATTATCTCAAGTATCTCCCACTCTCGTTTGATAACATCAATCAAACTCCCTGACGTCACAGTTTTCGCTGTACAGGTGGCAACAATGGCAGTCATTTGACGATCGATATTTGGTACACCTGCCATTGCCGGACAGGTGGCCACCCTGGCGGTTGGTCACTCAGTTCAGTCCAGTCTCAGCCGGGAGTCGGAGCAGGTGGACAATCCTGACACCCCTAGTGGTAAGAAAGTGAAATTTAATTTTTTTAATGTTTTTAACGTTCATAACAACCAGAAAACAGTTTATTGTATTCATTTTTTTTCTGTCACAACTATTAGGAAGTTTAAACTATTTATTCACTAATTTGATTGGAATTTTCGATAACAATCTATAAAACTGCGACACCGGTAGTATTCGTGTTTCTGTTTATATTTATTTAAATTGAAAAATCCCCCCTTTGGATGGTTATTTTTGCAAAGTACCTTTAAAGCTAGCAAATTCAGACCACATTACATTTTTTACACAGATCTCCCAATTGCACAATTGCGTTGTCTACAGCTTTTCTGAGCTATTTATACAACTCTGCGATTTTACGAATGAGAACTTAATCTTTAACTTTACATTCATTATAATTATACAGATTTTCCTCTATTATCGCTCGCAAAGTTTTAGGATTGCTAGAGTCTCAGTGGATGTTTATAAGACCTTTACACATTTATACTTATAAAAAAATGACATTTTGTGTTTCGCCTTTTAGAAAAGTATTTATCTCTTTCTATCTAGTGAAGGCATTTATTTTGTTGTGATTGCAACGAAAATTGTATTTTATAATTTCTAATAATTTGCATTTTGGTGGTATAGCAGTGTTTTGTTTTGGTGCTTAATTATAATTCTAGAGGGTTCAATTTTATTTTATTTACTTAAGTGATGGATTTCTCACTAGGAAAACAATAATTTCCGTTCAATAAATAAAGGTTGAATGTAGGAGTTAAATAAACATGTTATTTGGTCGTCATCTAACGAATAAAGTTATTACGTTATGCGTGCAATGATTAATAACCACATTTAATACATCAATACTGTTATGTCGAGATTTAAAGAAATAGTTTGGCTCAAATTTAATACATAGCAAATAAATATAAATATTTTGAGTTGGTTTCAAAGTTTTAAATAATAAAATCTTAACTAATAATGAAACTGAAAATCAAACACTAAACAAAATCAAACAGAGGATCCTGAACATTCCAGCATTCAAGTTCCTAGCTAAGGGCGTGGCTTCTCCAAAACGTAAACATTCTCTTCATAAACAAATTATTCTTGCTGTATACCTACAACCATTAAAACCATTTGTTTCCCATTAAAAATTTAAAATATAGGTTCTGCGTGAAAAAAGAGTTAATACAATGTTTGATTAATAATGCGAATATAGTTACTGGTGTATCAATTTGGCGCAAAAAAAGAAATGTTCTAATTAAAACAGAAATAAACAAAATAGCTAGTTTCTCAATGCTAAGCTTGGTCCCCTAGAGTATCGATTGCCGTAGCTACTGGAATGTCTGATGAGTCACTTTTGTGGCGCAATGTTCTTGTTAATTTCGTTGAATATTTGAGTTTTGTAGGCATAATTTTTTCATGGAACCTTTTTTATTTATTGAATAAGATTGAAGTAAAAATAACTTAAAACTTAATTAAATCATGATTTAAAAAGTACAATTTTTACACGGGGATGAACATTTGCTATCACAACAGTGCTATAGATAGATTTCTGTGGATCCTAACATTTCTAAATAAATATCGTCAACTAGAGAACATTTCTCTGGGGTATTGAGTTGAATGAGAATCCTTCCAAGTAACTTGAGTATGAAACAGTTTATGTGATAACTGATAAGTATGTGGCATGATGGTAAGAAGAGATGTCCAGACTGTTATATTATGCATAATAGAACCTGTCCATGGCCTTGAGATATGATGAGATTTGATAATTAATTACAGAGAACAGATAACGAATAAGACTTTTTAAATAGTTTTTTATATCCCACCTTCATGTCCTAGGATGCTTGGTTCTAACCCGGAACGGTTTAACACATTACTTCAAGCTAGTTCAAGAGGTTTGCGGCATTATCAAATTGATAATATACATTGGTGATTGGTGGGGTTTGAACTCAGGACCTCGGGCTTCGAAGCCTGGAGCCATACATACCACTAGACCGGCTCGCTCCCCATTTAAATTATAGTGTAAGGTTAGGGACTTCATTTGTCACTAAGGGTGGGGGTGTATTACAGTATTAGTGGTATTAGGTTCATTAGGGAAATTTAAATAGTAAAAAGTAAAAGGTGCATACCATCAGATTATAAAGTAAACTATAGGACAAACAATTGAAATTAAAGTCGGTTTCTTTTCCTTATTTTTACAAAATTACATTGTGGATCCACATATGTTCATTTATTTTATGTGGATTTAAATATTAGAATATGGTGGATATTTTATGGATTTAATGTTCATTCAGTGCAAAACTATATAAAAAAAATTCACTGAAAACAATAACTAATAACCCTTGCATTCTTGCAAGCATCAGAGCTACAAACAATTAGTTTAAAAATCAAACAATGACAAACAACCAACAGTTTTTTACACAAAATATATGTTGTACTGTATCTATCCTGACACATAGATAATTCGATTCTGAGTTTGTTTAAATATTATTACAATATTGTGTTTTACATTTGAGCTTTTCAGGAACTTATGTCCCTACAAGCCATTAGCTATTCTCATTCTTCAAATATTTATTTTGTTATATCTTCAAAGTGATTTTATCTGTGTGCAAAAAAAGATTTACCATTTTTTTTAATTAAACATTAATTAAGTCCATTAATTAAGTCATTGTGGAGGAAGTAAAATCTATTCAGGCATCTTGCCAGAACATCCCTATCTTTTGGCTATGGAGTATAAAATCGTGTTTCACGTCATTAATAAAATAGTTAACCTAGTTGATTGTAAAATTTGTTTTTTGCCAATAAATCCACGAATTATTCGTTTTAAACTCACTTAGTTTCGGAACTTAAATGTACCGTGAGTGTGTGGGTATGTTCTACAAACCTTTATATAACACGTCATCTTAAGCATACAACTGGTTGACCTTGAAAGTCCATTCTCACAATGGCAATTTTTGCTAAAAGGTTTTAACCAGTAAAGGAACACTAACAATATAACACTAGCATTACGTGAGAAAACAGTTTTATGACCAAGTGCGAGCGTGTGCTTTTGGGCAATGTGGTAATCGTTAACAAACGTACAGTTTGGGTTAGTTTACTGTTCCAGGGTTAACATTCAGTACATGTCTGAATATTATTTTATAAAGTTTTATTTCACGTTTTATGTGAAATTGATTTATATCAGGATTTTTTAGATAAAACCTTTTTAAGGCACTAAACTGGGCTGTTATCATTACGCAAGTTATTTACCCTGCACAAGCGATAAATGATATTGGCTGATATAAAACGTATAGACCCGCAGTCGCCGGAAATTATTTGTGTTTCAATGTTTACGAACTCACATTTCCTTAGTGCACGAATACTTAAAAATAATCTGATTGATGGTTTTCGAATGAACATTGGAGTGAACGAACAGTCAAATAAATTGTAAAATACTTGTTGGAGTGAACGATCTTGGACTGAATGCAATAGACCCTATTGAAGCATAGCCCCATAAAACGTAAGCCGGCTTGCTGATTTCAAATATTGAAAATATACTTTTCCTACAGTCACCTGACAAAGTGGGCTTCCTTGCACTGATTATAGTACAGAAAGTTGCTAATCGCTGCATTTACTCACTTTTGCCGCACTCTTTTTTCCGCACACCAGTATTCAAACCATGCAACACAAAACAGCGTGCTTTTATTAGGCACGTGATCCGTGTACGCTTGGAAATAGGTTGGCAACATAATGATTTTACGATCACCTGATCCAGTGTTTCCCATTTCGACTCGTTCAACACTTGGATCGTAAGCTAAAAACGTGTTGTATACTGTTGGAAAGATTAATTATTAGGTTAGAAGAGGTTAGGTTAGTTTAGGTTAAGTTAGTCATTGTAGATTAAGTGCGAGCAAAAAGTACGAGAGTCGGTAAGCTGAATTAAAATATTCGTTTAATGTTAGTTTATAATTCACAACATATCATGTCTGCAATGAAATGTATGTAAAATTAACGCCAATCCAGTGCTGATCGCCTACAATGCTTGGGCACATGCCTTTACAGCAGTTCGTTGCTTTTGTGAATTTTAATTCGGTTATCAAATCTGTCAGATTATGCCAGATAGCCCGCTCGGCGCTCGGGAGACGGAATCCTCCTTCACCGGCTGAAGGCTGAAGAGGACATAGTCCTAGAACAGCCTCAGTCCAGTGGGGATTTCGGCTCCCTGGACTGAAAATCCACAACACAACACAAACCGGCTTTCCCAGCCAAGCGTCTCCAGCCGTCTTTCATCCAGCAAAGCTCTTCCCCTCCGGGAACCACTTCGTTATCGTAATCGACTTTATTAATTGTGAAACCTCCGAAACCCCTTGTTGACACTTGTGAGTAATTGATTGAGTTGGGGAGGAGAAAAGGGGAGAGAGAGAGAGAGAGAGAGAGAGAGAGAGAGTGAGAGAGAGAGAGAGAGAGAGAGAGAGAGAGAGAGAGAGACCGGCGCCTGAATAAAGGATGCAGGTAAATCTGCAGAGGGGTGAGTGTAGAGAAGGGGTGGCTGCTGGACACGCGATGTGGCGGGTCACGATATACTGACCAACGGGGGGGAGGGAAATGGAACAATCTGAGAGAAACTCAGACGATTCTGGCTACAAAATTGTTCCTCCAGTTTATCCATACTAAAAGAAAGAAGCATTAACCTTATTTTTGTTGTATACACGAATGTTAATGTTTTACTGAGATCGGATGAATTAGGATAACAAATGTGGATGTGGAATGTAAAACTGTCAAACCTATTGTTGCGGGCTTAACAGGTTCTTTACAATAAAAACTTGGCGATTTTAAAATTGCTATTTTATTTACACTAATTATTCTATATTTACAGATATTAGAATTACCTAACACCTAACTAACCCTATCTAAACCTAGCTAATGCCTATTATAATTTACAATGTTTCTACTTACAGCTAGCCTCTACAGGATTTATCACTTCTGTTACAATACTGTCACTACACTGTCACTAGAGTCACTACACTGTTACTCTCACTGTCACTACAC